AATTGAGAGAGTTATTAGAAAAATATAAGAATAACTGCGCAAAGAGCAATAATGATTGTGGAAAGTTACACAAGAAATATGAGTACACAATATTAGGCGGAATCCCTGCGCCACCGAGACAGTGCCCGCGTAATAGAGCCATCTACATAGAAATAAAGGTAACTAGAAGAGTTAAAAAAGGAACGAATCACAAGCTTGAGACAGTTGCAGGGCCTGAAGATTACAATTAAAATTGATGAGATTAAAGGATTAAAAGACATAAATTAACAGATTAAAATTTTGTGAGAGATTTAATTCCAGGATACAGTGCTAAAGCAAAAATACTGTATCTATAGCAGGAAATGGCTTTAATTAGGACGAGAGACTGGAAAATATCAAATGTGACATAATTGACATGGCCTTGGCTTCGGGGCGGATTGTCAGGAGAAACCCTGATAAAAACCTCAGGGTTAAGATTGACAATAAACCCGAGGAAATGGAATTGATATTATATAACGAAGGGGATTCAAAATCTCCGGTTATGTTCATTTCGCACGAGAAACCTGCTAACCATAAGAAGCATGTGAATATGTCACCTGCTGATATTCTAGCCACAATTGCTAAGAATCTGCTCGCCATTAAGCTCGCCATGTTACTTCACTGACGGTAGTTCGGAGAAGGGAGAAACCTGGTGGGGATTTATGGTCGAATTGAAAGGAAAAATTATTCACAAGGAGAAAGGCAGGTTAGATAATGACAAGAGCCCACAAGAAGCCGAGGTTACAGCCGTTGCAGTTATGCATTTGAGGGATAACAACCGGAAAAAATGTATATTAGTAACCGATAGGGAATACGTGTATATGGGCATTGTTCAAAACCTGTCCACATGGGAACAGAATAATTTTTATGATGCTAAGGGCTGAGTTGTGGAAAATAATAAGTGAATGTACGAAGGTGGTGCAACTGAGAGTACTGCACCAGTCCAGTCACACGATTCAGAAAACTCCAGCAGCTGTAGGAAACAGGGAAGTGGATCAGTGTGTGCCTGTGAGAACGATACGAAAGAAAGTGAGGGGAACTTGCTCCAAGAGCCGCACGATAAGCTGAATCGCCCGTCCACAGCATAAGTTGCGAAATATTGTAAGCAGCTAGGGCTGCATGTGTAAAATGTAAAGACCACATATCAGAAAATTAAACTAAAGTGTCCTGATGGCAGGAATGTGATGTCTAGTGTACATCAGGATTTTGGACATATTAAAAATGTAAGGGAACATGAAGAAATGGGTGCAGATTTCGCCGGACCATTGTTACCTAAAACTAAAAAGATGAATGTCCACTTCTTAGTGTTAGTGGACAATTGTACCAAGTTTCAAAACAAACATATCCGTGTCCACAGGCAACCAGCTCGGTAGTTGATAAATGATGTTTTACTAACAAAGTTCGGGAGGAGCATGTTCAGAATTAAACACAGGTGGAGCACATTCAGGTAATCAAGCCTAATTAGACACGAGTGGAGCGCACTCCCAATCAATGAAGTAAGCGGTATATATACAGCAAACTTAACTCAGTTCATTGACAGTCTAACAGCATCCCACCACCACCCCATCTCCTCACTTCTTCTCCTAAATACTCTTACAACAACGAGGGGGGGGAGCACTCTAGGTTCGGGCAAAAATTCCGAGCTCGGAGCCCTCCCCCCGGACAGCACGCCAAATACGCATAATCTTTACTCTGTTTAATTGATGTAAATGTGAACTCGTGAATAGCCTTAAAGAAGGGATTAAATATCGGGGGAAGCCCGCAAGAGTCCGTGGGGACAACGCGCATAATTTAACTGGAAGTGAGGTAGCAAACATTTTGTAACGAAAATAAAATGGATTAACCTTAGTCAAAGCAGTTAAGTGTCAGCCAGCAATGGCATAGCAGAGCATGCCGTTCGTAGTGTGAAAGAATTCTTTGTAATGGCCTTAGCCAATAACACAGAGCCAATTTTCCGCTGGCCTTAGCCAATAACACAGAGAAAGCCTTCTTGTGGGAAAGATTGCTGTGTTCGGGGGGACCGGTTCCAAGGGATTCAGATCCGTTAGTGAAAGGTGGGGTGTTAGATAAAACACTGGCCAGAGACAGTGACCTAGACCTCTGGAAGAAGGTCATAAGGGACTCACTGTACGAGAAGGAGCACTTGATTAGTTATAAAATCAACGGGGTATATAAAGAAGCAAGTATGCATGATATGATGACTAACGTGATGGAGGAAATGTCTTTTCAGGAAGAATATCCAATTTATATGCCCAGAGAATATAGCCTTTATGTCAGGGAAACTTCTCTGACTGTAAGAGCTAGATTACAACAGACTTTTGTAGGGACAGAGAGAGTGAAAGTTTAAATTGGCCCGGACAACAGAAGGGAACTATGGCAGTTCCAGGTCCATTTGACAACTACATCCGACTTTCTCGGAGTAGGAAAGTCAATAGAAGGGGTCAAACTTATCAGATCAAGCATAACAAAGCCCAGCTCACTGAGCAGAATGACAATCTGGATCAGGCAAAGGCTAGGGAAAGTTTAGGTTGATATATGTCTCTGTGTCTGTTGTGTGTTTTACAGTAGCAGGATGGGGAAACAGCGGATACATCTGGAGAGGAAGTATCTAAAGCTGCGGAGGAAGCAAAGCGGCTTGGGAATCGGCCTGTTGTCAGCGCTGACTATGCTGGGAATAGCATTGTTAATTTTGGGTTTTGGATTATCAGGAGATAACGAGACAGAAGTGGTTAGCGTATCCTCCTGCTCTGTTGTTGAGAAATTAGTGTTAAAAATATGCTATAAGCAAACAGTGAATATTGGTGGGGTGAAATATGGCTCGAAAATGATAAGGGACATGTTTAAGGGAATGATAGAAAATATAGATAAATCATTTTGGAACTGTACAGGGGCTCGGAAAATAAGTGCTACTAAGGGGCCAGCTCTTTACGGGGGTAGAGTAATTAAGAATAGTACCCGGTTGAGATGGGATATTCTTGACGGTCATAATCAGACGCACGTAAAGCTAAGGGGCCTAAAATACAATCTCACTGATATCACTAAGCTGACGTTTAGTAAGCATGTGTACAAGATATGGAATAGTCCGGTTCTCCAGATAACCGGGGTGCAGCGCTGGGATTGTCTGACCAAGGAAATTGTTACTGAGCACAGTAATAAATGGTTAAGTAAAAATATTGAGGATCAGTCGATAGAGCTGGAGATTGATAAAGTCCCAGCAGATAAAAGACGTAGTGGTAGATCTGCCCCAGAGGGCTAAGATGAACGTTTTTGTCTTCTCCTTACTCAGATTTGCTCTCAGATCGGTCCCATGTAAGACTCCTACGTTAAAGATTTTAAGCTAAATTAAAAGTTTTCTGAGAGGATTCTTAGGATCTTTATGAATACGGGCCTGGCCTTGTGTAAACATGGCCTGAGAGTTTGGATTATATAAACACTGAGTAGTGTTAATTTAACACTGAGGATTTTGCTGTGTGCATTTATCAGAATGATCAGAACTGAATCTGAAAATAAAGTTGCACATAAAAAACAAAGGGCCTCATATATAAGATGTTTGAGGACAGATTTGATCTTAAAGTGTGCTTTAAGATTTTCTGTCTATGTGCCTCATTGCAGTCCTCAGAATTAGCAGTTGAATAATGACCCAGTGCTGAGGCAGAACGATATCTCTCAACTTTATTGGCACTTTTGTCTGAGAATATATAGTAAAAATGTGAGGGGAGTTACACAGAGTTAACCAATAAGAGTACATCATATTTTAGAATACAATTCAATTACTCATCATTTTGGCTTCATTGTGGCTTATAACTTTTGGCATAAGTTAAATATTTGTCATTCCTGACCATAAGATGTTTAAATAAATGTCACATTAGACATGGAAGTTGTAGGTTGTGTTTGTATAATTCCGTATCTTATTTAGCTGAGGTAAATTAAACGCAATTCTCGCGTATCCTTGCTTGAAGATGAATGAGACGGCCTAGCGGTTGGTTGAAATTTTAAAGGCTGATTTTCTCGCTTCAGGGCGGTGATGAGTACACATGTAGTCCAGTGGTTGTCCAAACACCCTAGGCACAACCTTAAGCAACCAACCTAAGATGGTTGGTTACGTTGTGCCAACGTTACACTAAAATTCATGTCAACGGTCATATTTATACAAATAAATGGATGTCTTTGAGGTGTAAAAGATCTTAGCTTCTCGTCAGGGTCCGATCAGACGTACACATGTTTCCCTCATGCAGAGAGTTGGAGAACTGCAGGCATGTGGAAATGTAAGTAATTCTCGACACTCGTCATTCATGGAGTGATGTGTGTGTGAGATCGGGGCCCTTGAGCAAGTGGCCCTCAGAACCTGTACACGTGGTACGTGCTGATCCATGAGGATGGGAACACCTTGTCTTCTTCGCTGGGGTCGTAGTACAGCTTCCCGTCACCAAATGCTCGGGACCTCAAAAACGCATCGGCGCTGGGCAACACCAACAGAGACATGTGACTCGGACCTGAGCGAGAACAACAGGAGACACTGAACATTATTCGTCATTAATAAACACAGGGAGTGAACTAAACCTGTCAAACACACTCACTGGATTATTGAATGCTGCTGATTATTTCATTTTATTCACTAAAAATCAAGGCAAATATTTGTATGGATAAAAAGTTTAATAAATAGCTAAGACAAATGTATATTATAAAATATATGATTTATTTTTAATAAAAAAAATACAACAAATGCTATATATGTAAACATTTATTATATATTTTATATAAAAAATGTAAAATTAATTTAATTTAATTATAAAAAATTAAAAAGTTAAATTAAAATTTTAATTATAAAATAAAAATTATTAAAAAACAGTTTTTGAAGAATAGTCATCAACAGTCATTATTCTTTTTTATATTTATGCGTGTGTGTGTTTTTTAATATATTTAATTTTAGATTAAATTTAATCCACACGACTGGCGCACTGAACACACTAACGGAGAGACGAAGAGAGAGAGAAATATTAAAAAATATAAAAGCTTTAAAATTTTAATCACATCATATTTATAGAAATTGTGAAAAATGTTTTCCAAAACAGAACACAACCATATATTTTCAAACATTCATAAACGTATTAAAAAATTAATTAGCAGTCTAGATTTCAACATTATAATCACCTTTTTGTTCAATTACTTTCTGTCTGCAAACATATATTGCCATTTTTGCCTTGCCTACACTAACATTTATCAATTGGCATTCATATTGTCTTCTTCGGGTATATTTAAAACCAAAAATATAAAGTCATATTGACTGATGACGTTTCACAAGAGCACTGTCATGTGTGGTGTGTTTTGTCCCCTCACTCACCCTGTAGTACAGGCTCTTGGCTAGCGTGTGTATCAGCAGGATCATGCTGGCGGCAGCGGATCCGTACAGAGAGACGGCAGCGTAGAAGTGTGTGTACCAGAACATGGAGCGACCCATGAGTGTGACGAGCCAAGCCACCAACAGAACCGTCAGCAGAGCCATGCCCCAGCTCAGGACCACCATAACCACCGCACACACCAGATCACGCGTGTACCGACAGCCTACAGCAATACACACACGCGCCAGATCACGTGTGCACCGACAGCCTACAGCAAAACACACGTAACGTCAGTGCTTTAGAGAGGCTAACATCAAATACATCAGTATGAAGCTGATGACATTAACTTCACCCTTTAGGTGATGCCTGTTCGACACACGACTCAACACATTCATGATGAATAAACTGGTCATGTGACCATCACGTACCCACAGAGCTGTTCAACATGCACTTCCAGCCCAGGTAGATCACCGTGGCGACGGCAAACACATAGTTGATGATGGTGCCGACGTGAGCGGGATACGCCACCATCGTCAATCCCAGCAGGTCGAAGAACACCATGTTACCATGCCGATGCTCCGAGGAATCCGCCAGCTCATCTGACATCACCAGGTGCTTGAGCACAGACAGGATGTTGTCGCCTAGTGACCGAGAGAAACAGGAAGTTTATCATTTTTAAAACAACTGATAGGCAAAGCAAGGCACTCAAAGAGATGGTCCTCACTGCAGAATACGAAATGCAGGGGGAGGAGTTGGACCCATATCCAACTCCTCCCACCTTACATATACCTAATCCTATCCATCTCCGCCCCTGATCCCTAACCCCACGCCTAATCCTACTCATCTCCGCCCCTGATCCCTAACCCCACCCCTAATCCTACCCATCTCCGCCCCCTGATCCCTAACCCCACCACAATCCTAGCCATCTCCACCCTTGATCCCTAACCCCACCCCTAATCCTACCCATCTCCGCCCCCTGATCCCTAACCCCAGGCCTAATCCTACCCATCTCCGCCCCTGATCCCTAACCCCACCCCTAATCCTACCCATCTCCACCCCCTGATCGCTAACCCCACCTCTAATCCTACCCATCTCCACCCCCTGATCCCTAACCCCACCCCTAATCCTACCCATCTCCACCCCTGATCCCTAACCCCACCTCTAATCCTACCATCTCCACCCCCTGATCCCGAACCCCACCCCTAATCCTACCCATCTCCACCCCTGATCCCTATCCCCACCCCTAATCCTACCCATCTCCACCCCCTGATCCCTAACCCCAACCCAATCCTACCCATCTTCGCCCCCTGATCCCTAACCCACCCCTAATCCTACCCATCTCCGCCCCCTGATCCCTAACCCCACCCCAATCCTACCCATCTCCACCCCTGATCCCTAACCCCACCCCTAAACCTATCCATCTCCGCCCCCTGATCCCTAACCCCACCCCAATCCTACCCATCTCCACCCCCTGATCCCTATCCCCACCCCTAATCCTACCCATCTCCACCCCCTGATCCCTAACCCCAACCCAATCCTACCCATCTTCGCCCCCTGATCCCTAACCCCACCCCTAATCCTACCCATCTCCGCCCCCTTGTCGCCTAGTGACCGAGAGAAACAGGAAGTTTATCATTTTTAAAACAACTGATAGGCAAAGCAAGGCACTCAAAGAGATGGTCCTCACTGCAGAATACGAAATGCAGGGGGAGGAGTTGGACCCATATCCAACTCCTCCCACCTTACATATACCTAATCCTATCCATCTCCGCCCCTGATCCCTAACCCCACGCCTAATCCTACTCATCTCCGCCCCTGATCCCTAACCCCACCCCTAATCCTACCCATCTCCGCCCCCTGATCCCTAACCCCACCACAATCCTAGCCATCTCCACCTTGATCCCTAACCCCACCCCTAATCCTACCCATCTCCGCCCCTGATCCTTAACCCCACGCCTAATCCTACCCATCTCCGCCCCTGATCCCTAACCCCATCCCTAATCCTACCCATCTCCACCCCCTGATCCCTAACCCCACCTCTAATCCTACCCATCTCCACCCCTGATCCCTAACCCCACCCCTAATCCTACCCATCTCCACCCCTGATCCCTAACCCCACCCCTAATCCTACCCATCTCCACCCCCTGATCCCGAACCCCACCCCTAATCCTACCCATCTCCACCCCCTGATCCCTATCCCCACCCTAATCCTACCCATCTCCACCCCCTGATCCCTAACCCCAACCCAATCCTACCCATCTTCGCCCCCTGATCCCTAACCCCACCCTAATCCTACCCATCTCCGCCCCCTGATCCCTAACCCCACCCCAATCCTACCCATCTCCACCCCTGATCCCTAACCCCACCCCTAAACCTATCCATCTCCGCCCCCTGATCCCTAACCCCACCCCAATCCTACCCATCTCCACCCCTGATCCCTAACCCCACCTCTAATCCTACCCATCTCCACCCCCTGATCCCTAACCCTACCCATCTCCACCCCATGATCCCTAACCCCACCTCTAATCCTACCCATCTCCACCCCCTGATCCCGAACCCACCCCTAATCCTACCCATCTCCACCCCTGATTCCTATCCCCACCCCTAATCCTACCCATCTCCACCCCATGATCCCTAACCCCACCTCTAATCCTACCCATCTCCACCCCCTGATCCCGAACCCCACCCCTAATCCTACCCATCTCCACCCCCTGATTCCTATCCCCACCCCTAATCCTACCCATCTCCACCCCCTGATCCCTAACCCCAACCCAATCCTACCCATCTTCGCCCCCTGATCCCTAACCCCACCCCTAATCCTACCCATCTCCGCCCCCTGATCCCTAACCCCACCCCAATCCTACCCATCTCCGCCCCTGATCCCTAACCCCACCCCTAATCCTACCCATCTCTGCCCCTGATCCCTAACCCCACCCCTAAACCTACCCATCTCCGCCCCCTGATCCCTAACCCCACCCCTAATCCTACCCATCTCCGCCCCCTGATCCCTAACCCCACCCCTAATCCTACCCATCTCCACCCCTGATCCCTAACCCCACCCCTAAACCTATCCATCTCCACCCCTGATCCCTAACCCCACCCTAATCCTACCCATCTCCACCCCCTGATCCCTAACCCCACCCCTAATCCCAAAATATATATTGCGCTTATTTGTATTGGTTAAAATAACAAATAAAAAAATGTGTGTGTGTTTGTGTGTGATCTTCTCTCCCTGAGCATCTGGAGTGTCTTGAACAGAACATCAGCTCAGATCTTCAGCAGATGTTTTATTCCTCGGTGCTCATATGAGTCTGTGGATCAGGAAGCATGAGTCTCACCTGCTCTCTGGATGGAGTCGATGTGGATTCGCTCCGGAGTGTCATATTTAGTGTGATAAAGGTAACCGTTCTCTATGAACGCAAGATCGATCCCTATAGAAGAAAAAGAAGAAGTCGTCGTCTTTAACATGACGTGAATCTCACAGTCCCAATAAAGACTCCTGTCTATCTTTTAACCGTATAAAACCTGGGAACTATTCTCTGAAGGCGAAGCACTGCTACGTTGACGGAGTAATAACCGCATCACCTGAGACACGCCGTGGTGAGGAGCGGAGAGTTCGCTCAGTGTTTGGGTAACAGAGTCTGCAATTTATAAATAGTAAAAGCGTAGTTTAGAGTCATGGGTTTTCGCTCTATTGTAAATAGCTGCGACTGTAAACAGGGGAGGTAATACCATGTTTCACAGAATTCCAACTAAAAACGCTGACTGGATGAAGAAATGGCTAACTTACTCTGGATATGTATCCAAACACACCTAAATAGATTATCAAGGGACATTATGTTTGCTCGGTACATTTCAATGGACGACTATTTTGAAAAAATGGAATTTGCCACACGGACCATAATGTGCTGAAGGATACGGCTATCCCATCGATAGCACAGACAGGACAAGTGGATCACCTGCGGCTGAGGTAAGTGTTATGTTTTTAGATGACCTACTGTAACAGTGCCTTTAGCCAGATCTAATGTAACGTTAGTGACACTATTATATGATAAGGGGTATGAATATGTTTTTATCTTGATGCAGTGCGGACGCGCTTGGAAAAAAACGAGCGCGTTCACCGCGCTGAACTTGCACCCTGCGCGCGGCGCGCCTAGTAGCCTAAATTTGAAATAACCATGGAAATAACAAACTTGAGCGTGCAAAAGGGTCAGTAGGCTGTGAGTTCATTGTGCAAAAACAATTTGTGCTATTATTCTATCCTATAGTAATGCAATACTGTATATTATATAGGCTACTGTTGAATACATTTGGTTCAGCTAATAAATTGAATTTAAAATATATTGATTCCTGTATTAATAATTATTTATTCATGTGATATTTATAAATCTGGGTGCGTTTTTGGTTGGAAATCAATGAAACATGGTACTGTATTACCTGGTCTCCCCTGTTTATTGTCACAGCTCATACAATAAAGCAAACACCCGTGATAAACTATGCTTTTCTGTCTAACGTTAGTAATTGCTGACTCTTTATTCCAACACTGAGCGAACACTCTGCTCCTCGTCACGGTGCGTCTCAGGTGATTGTTATCACTCTGCCCAAGTAGCAGTGCTTCGCCTTCAGAAAATATAGTATTTATACGGTCAAAAGATGTCTATGTCTCATATGGCCTTGATATTTGCACACTCTGTGACTATACAAACCACAACATGTAAATAGGAAAACGTTTGCGTTATTTTGTCACTCATTTGGATTAGTATGAAAGCTGCAACCATTCACATCCAGTCTTTGTGCTAAGCTAGGCTAGCGGTGGGTGCGTCAAACAGACTTATAGCACGCACGGAGATGAAAAAGGTATGTATGGACTTATCTAACTCTGGGGGGCAAAGGTGAATAGGCTAAAGTCCCAAAAAGTCGGAGTCTTCCTTTAAGAGAACGTCACTTAAGTCACTCTTAAAAAAGGAAGATGTTCAGAGTTTTGACGACAGGATATGGCAAACGTTTAATATATCAACTTGCTCTGCTGGAGGGAAAACGCATTGGACTCACTCATCCACAGCCGTTCGTTGCTCTGGTTGGTTGTGGGGCTATCCTATTGCGTGCAGAGGGATATTGAAAGACAACCTTTTATCCCGCCCCTCGGATTGAGGTATGCCAATTGTGAGTTCCCAGACCTAACATCTTGATAGGCCTGGCTTGCCAGGCTACACTCTCGGGTCTGCAGAGAGAAAGTGGTGCAAATCGAAAGATCCTACTGACCTTGGTCTTTATCAATCCCTCCTTTCTTCCTTCCCTGCTAATGTCTCTACTGCTGAAATAACTTACTATCACAACAAAATTAACAATTCTTATGACTCTTGCAAAACCTTCTCCTCTTTTCTCAACCCGCCTCCACCAACCCTGATGATTTTGCCACATTCTTCATAAATAAAACCACCACCATCAGTGGCCAATTTGTCACGCAACAAAACGACACACACACATCTTAACGACTAAAACACACACATTCTCCCCTCTTTCTCTCTGCTATCAGAGGCAGAAGTCTCCAAACTCCTCCTTTCCAATCACGCTGTCCGCTTGATCATTTTCCCACTAATCTACTTCAAGCCATTTCTTCCTCAATTGTACCAGAACTTACTCATTCATAACAACAATTCTCTTCACACTGGTATCTTTCCCACAGCATTTAAGCTGGCTCGGGTATCCCCACTGCTTAAGAAACCCAATCTAAATCCAGCATTTCTAGAATACTACAGACAGTATCTCTTCTTACATTCATGGCTAAAACACTTGAATGAGTTGTTTTCGAAGAGATCTCTGCCTTTCTTACGCAGAACAACCTCCTGAGCAACAAGCAGCTTCAAAATGACACTCTGAGACTGCCCTGCTCTCGGTTCTTGAAGCTCTGAGACTGGCAAGAGCAGTTTACAAATCCTCAGTCCTCATCCTGCTGGATCTGTCTTTTGCATTTGATACAGTTAACCGCCAGATCCTCCTGTCAATCCTCAAGATGAAAGGCATCTCAGGAACCGAACTCCAATGTTTCAAGTCTTACCTCTTAACAGGTCCTTTAGGGTGTCATGGAGGGGATGAGATGTCGAAGACCCAACATCTAGCTACTGGAGTGCCTCAGGGCTCAGTGCTGGGACTGCTTCTCTTCTCCATCTACATGTCATCACTAGGATGGTTTTTCCTATCACTGCAATGCTGACGACACACAACTCTACCTCTCATTCCAAACAGATAATCCGATGGTAGCTGCTTGCATTTAAGCCTGCCTGACAGACATTTCTGGCTGGATGAAGGACCACCACCTTCAACTAAACCTTGCGAAGACAGTGGTCTCTACCAACCCAACACTACACCATAACTTCTCCATTCAGCTGGGTTCATCATCCATAACTCCTTACAGGACAGCCAGGAATCTTGGAAATTCACTTACCACATTACTAGAACTACTGGTCCTGAAGATTTGCCTTATACAACATTAGGAAGATCAGACCCTTTCCTATCAGAGCTACACAACTCCTTGTCCAAGTGCTTGTTCTATCCAGATTGGACTGTTGTAATGCTTTCTTATCACTGTCAAACCTCTGCAACTGATCCAGATGCTGCAGCAAGAGTTGTCTTTGACAAGCCGAAGAGAGCACATGTCTGATCTGCCCAACTCAACCTGAGCTGATGAGTCTTTAGCCATCTTCAAGAAATGATTTTTTTTTTCAAGAAGATTTTTAGCAACACTTGATCCATTAAAACTAGCACTTTTTCTCTTCCCTTCTTAACTTCTATTGCTCTCCTCATTTGTTGATGTGGATAAAAGTGTCTGCTAAATGATTAAATGTAAATGTCAAAGGTCCGCCATGTCGTGACCTCTCACCTTCAGCATGTTCGCCTCTGCCCCGTTGAACAGGAAGATGACGCCGTGTTTGAGAGGTGTAGAGAGATTAGCTAGAGAACGTAAAATCTCCAACATCACTGAACAGCTGACAGCATCATCACTGGCTCCTGAAACACATGAACACACACATTATTGATCACACAGTACCTGCAGTACTGATACACTAGAGTAAAGCATGCACACAAATATAGAAACATGACTCAAAGAAAAAAATAAAACATGCTATGGATACAAATACATAAAACCATTAATTACAAACAAGATGCTGATAATGCAGAGACACAATTACAATAATCCTGTCAATCAAATGCATTCAAATCATAACTGACTGGGATTTAACATGAATCCAAACATGACAGAACAACAACACTGTTGTGAAACTCAAACAAAATAACATTCTGACTAAAACCTCAACACCTATAAAGGTTGTGGGTGTGACGTCACTTTTGGCACTGCGGTCACGCCCACCGAGAGGCAGACACCCCTTTTACACAAAGGCAGAGCTGGTGCTGGTTCGGAGACAGAGCCAAGTTTTAAATCGGTTCTTTGATTTTCGACCACCAAAGCACCAACTCTGAACCAGTAAAAGTGGTTCTTAAGTAGCACCAAATCTTTGCTGGTCTAGAAGGAAGAACCGCTTACATCAGCGGCTGGGGGCGGGGTTACAATGACCAACAAAAAGACGAACAGAAACTTGCTCGATTGTAATCTCCATTAATGCAAGTTACGGCGAGCTGAACGAACGTGCTAGATTCGCCATGTTTGGATACCAAAGTTTGCAAGCAACCGGCATTGTTAAAGGGATACTCCATTTTTTTTGGAAATAGGCCTTTTTTTACAACTCCCCCAGAGTTAAACAGTTGTGTTTAACCGTTTTCAAATCAATTCAGACGATTTTCTGATATTTAGAAGAATATCAGTTACCAGACAGTTTCTGGTCTCATTGACTTCCACTATGGAGAGTGCCTCCTCCCGTGGTCCTCCTAAGCACCCATCCAAAGCCTGTAGGTTCTCGTCTGCTATGGCAGGCCTCCGCCCTGCATGCAATGAGCACTTTGCAGGTTTTCCAAGCCAAACTGCTCAGAGATATGCACGAGGGGGGGACTGACCAAACGGCCTTTAATGTACTGCGAGCCGCCACAGACCTTGCCCTCCGGGCAACGAAGGTGGCCGCTCGCTCCGTTGGTCAGGTGATGGCCACTAGCGTGGTCCAGGAGCGCCATCTCTGGCTTAACCTGGCAGACACACGGGATGCCGAGCGGACTCGTCTGCTCGACGCCCCGCTCTCCCAGGTTGGCCTTTTCGGCGGTGCAGTCAAGGACTTTGCCCAGCAGTTCTCGACTGCCCAGAAGCAGACGGAGGCGATCAAACACATTCTGCCCCGACGGCCAGCTGCTGCCTCCACCCAGCCGTCGGTACAGACGCCTCCCCCTGCTCGCCGCAGAGGACGCCCCCCTGCAGCTCCCCTCCCTCCCACGCGGCCCCAGCAGCCTTCATCCGGGTCGCAGCGCGGAGGAGGCCGCAGGCAGGCGTCACAGCCCCCTCAGGCCGCACACCCCGCTAAACGCCAGGCTAAGCGACGATCCTGACACGGGCTGCTCAGTGATGAAGTCGAGTGTTTCCCAGGAGGTGGTAGCAGGCCCCCTCCTTCCCCCGGTGGAGGGCCGGGGGAGAATCTTTTGTTCTCAGCTCCCCGCTGCTCACCCACGGGTGGGCAGTACCCTGAGTTGGTTAAAGAAAGACTTGACATCATCACTGAGCACACAGACAGGAATGAGTGCGCTCGACGTCCCAGTGAGTCAGCCCACACACTCCTCTCTGTCTCTGAGGGTGCGGAAGGGAGCGTGTGTCGTCCCTCGACTACGCCACTCCCCTCCCCCTCTATCGCCAGACCCCCGGCAGAACAGACCCCCGTGAAACTCTGGTCCTTCCCTGGTCTCTTCTGTCGGGGAGCGGGCTTTGACTGTGCATCTGGGCGGGGTAACTCCTGCGCGCATGCCAGTCGACCCGCCTCGCTGCCCCTCCGGGGGGACGTCTGTGGTTCGTATGACCCCGCTGGTACACTTCCTGGAAGCTTGGCTAGAGCTTCCCGGCCTGTCCCGCTGGGTCATCAGAACGATCAGATTCGGCTACGCGATTCAGTTCGCACGGTCTACTCCCCGTTTCAGGGGAGTTCGCTCCACGATGGTCGGTGGCAATGCCCCGGTCATGAGAGCGGAGATTGCGACCCTGCTGGCGAAGGGTGCAATCGAGACGGTCCCTCCGGCTGAGATGAGGTCCGGGTTTTACAGCCCCTACTTCATTGTCCCCAAGAAGACCGGTGGGTTACGACCGATCCTGGATCTGCGCATTTTGAACCGTACTCTCCATCGACTACCATTCAAAATGCTCACAGCCAAAAGCATTTTCGAATGCGTTCAGCTTCAGGATTGGTTTGCAGCAATCGACCTGAAGGACGCGTACTTTCATGTCTCCATATTGCCTCGACACAGACCGTTTCTCCGGTTTGCTTTCGAAGGCCAGGCATATCAGTACACGGTTCTCCCATTCGGGTTAGCTCTGTCCCCTCGCGTCTTCACGAAGATCGTCGAGGCAGCCCTTGTTCCCCTTCGCGAACACGGGGTTCGCATCCTGAACTATCTCGACGACTGGCTGATACTGGCACACTCTCGAGAACAGGTTTGCGAACACAGAGACCTGGTGCTCCGGCACCTAGCCCGTCTGGGCCTTCGGGTCAACCGGGAAAAGAGCAAACTTTGCCCCGTGCAGAGGATCTCTTTTCTCGGCATGGAGATAGACTCGGTCGCCATGTCCGCGCAGCTCACGAGCGAGAGCGCGCACTCACTGCTGACTTGTCTTCGACAGTTCGAGGGCAAGAGTGTGGTTCCACTGAAACTGTTTCAGAGGCTCCTGGGGCATATGGCATCCGCGGCAACGCCGCTCGGTTTGCTTCATATGAGACCGCTTCAGCTGTGGCTTGGCGATCAAGTCCCGAGGTGGGCATGGCATCGCGGCTCGCTCCGAGTTCCAGTGACTCCAGCGTGCCGCCGAACCTTCTTCCCGTGGTCGAACCTCAGCTTTTTACGGGCCGCTGTCCCTCTTCAGCGAGTTTCCAGGCATCTCGTTGTCTCCACGGATGCATCTACCACGGGTTGGGGTGCCATGTGCAATCGGCATGCAGCCACGGGTTCCTGGACAGGACCCCAGCGCCTCATGCACATCAATTGCCTCGAGCTGCTGGCAGTACGCCTGGCCCTGCACCGTTTTCGAGCGCTGCTCAGGGGTCAACATGTACTTGTTCGTTCAGACAACACCACTGCAGTAGCGTACATCAACCACCAGGAGGGGGTCTACGCTCACGCCGGTTGTCGCAGCTCGCCCGCCACCTCTTGCTATGGAGTCAGAAGCACCTGAGGTCCCTTCGTGCAGTGTACATTCCAGGAGACCGGAACCTGGCAGCCGACGAGCTGTCACGGGTCCGCCCCATCTCCGGCGAATGGCGACTCCATCCCCAGATGGTCCAGCTGATTTGGGACCAGTTCGGGGAGGCTCAGATAGATCTGTTCGCCTCCTGGGACTCATCCCACTGCGCCCAGTTTTATTCCCTGACCAAGGGTACGCTCGGCACAGATGCACTGGCGCAGAGCTGGCCATGGGGCCCACGCAAGTATGCGTTTCCCCCAGTGAGCTTTCTTGCACGGGTGTTGTGCAAGATCAAGGAGGACGAGGAGCAGGTCTTGCTGGTGGCCCACCAAGACGTGGTTCTCCGAACTCATGCTCCTCGTGACAGCACCTCCTTGGCCTATTCCTCTGAGACAAGATCTACTCACTCAGAGACGGGGCATTCTGTGGCACCCTCGTCCCGATCTCTGGAGGCTGCACGTGTGGCTCCTGGACGGGACGAGGCAGGTTTGAGTTCGCTGCCACCTTGCGGTGGCGACAACCATCACTTCCACTAGAGCGTCGTCCACGAGACACCTTTACGCGTTGAGGTGGAACCTCTTCGTCAGCTGGTGCTCTTCTCGCGGAGAAGACCCCCGGAGATGTTCGATCGGTGTCGTGCTTTCCTTCCTGCAAGAAGGGTTGGAGCGCAGGCTGTCGCCCTCCACCCTTAAGGTTTACGTCGCGGCCATTGCCGCCTCTCATGAAGCAGTAGAAGGTAAGTCCTTAGGGAAGCACGACCTGGTCATCAGGTTCCTGAGGGGAGCGAGGAGGCTGCATCCGCCTCGTCCTCCCCTCATACCCTCTTGGGACCTCTCAGTAGTTCTAAGTGCTCTGCAGAGGCCTCCCTTTGAGCCTTTGCAATCGGTAGAGTTAAATTTTCTGTCCATGAAGACAGCACTCCTGGTTGCACTGGCCTCCATCAAGAGGGTGGGGGACCTGCACGCATTCTCCATTGACGAAGCGTGCCTGGAGTTCGGGCCGGCTTACTCTCACGTGATCCTGAGACCCCGGCCTGGATACGTGCCCAAGGTTTCCACCACTCCCTTCCGGGACCAGGTGGTGAACCTGCAAGCGCTGCCCCTGGAGGAGGCAGACCCAGCCTTGGCACTGCTCTGTCCGGTACGTGCTCTCCGCACCTACGTTGACAGAACGCGGTGTTTCAGGACCTCAGACCAGCTCTTTGTCTGTCATGGAGGGAGCCAGAAGGGAAGGGCTCTCTCAAAGCAACGGCTGTCTCACTGGATAGTGGACGCCATTGCTTTGTCTTACCAGCAGCTAGGCCGGCCGTGCCCCCTTGGTGTGACGGCCCATTCCACTCCGAGTGTGGCGGCCCATTCCACTCGGAGTGTGGCGGCCCATTCCACTCGGAGTGTGGCCTCCTCTTGGGCTCTAGCCCACGGCGCCTCGCTAACAGACATTTGCAGAGCTGCAGGCTGGGCGACACCAAACACCTTCGCAAGATTCTATAATCTGCGAATTGATCCGGTGTCCTCTCACGTACTCGCTTCCGCCAGTACTGGACCCGCTTAGGTGTCTTCGCTTGCTCGCCATTCCACTTCTCGGATCGGATAAGTGCGATATTTCCTCAGTGTCTTCCGTTGAAGCCTTGAGTCCTCCAGCACCGACGATGCGGGCACCACTGCTGTTGCTCTGGATGCTGGCTAGGTGTTTCCGTCATTTCTGACGTAACTCGAAGTGACTACGAAAGGGAACGTCTCGGTTACGGATGTAACCCTCGTTCCCTGAGTAGGGAACGGAGACGTTACGTCTCCCTGTCACATCGGCTGTATCGCTGGGTAGACGCCAGAGTTCAGCCTTGGCTCCTCAGCGAAGACATACTGCGGTTGCTTTCACTTCCTCTTTTTATACCCACTGCGTGGGGCGGAGATACGCTATGCAAATTCCGCAGCCCCAAGGCATTTTCATGCCATTGGCTCGTTTTTAAATACTCGAAGAGGATTGGCTTTCTATGCAAAACCCCCATTCTCCGTCACTTCTGACGTAACGTCTCCGTTCCCTTATCAGGGAACAAGGGTTACATCCGTAACCGAGACGTTTCTGATCCTTAAAATAAAGTGTTACCGAACTTTTAAGAGAACATTCTGGGAACAAAAAGAAAACTACCTGCTGAAAATGTTATAAGAACATTAGGGAATAATGTTCTAAGAATGGTAGCACTAAACATATTTAAAATGTTTTTAGAGAATGTTATTAGAACTTTTAAGAGAACATTCTGGGAACAAAAAGAAAACTACTCGCTGAAAATGTTATAAGAACGTCAGGGAATAATGTTCTAACAATGTTAGCAATAAACATATTTAGAATGTTTTTAGAGAATGTTATTAGAACTTTTAAGAGAACATTTTAGGAACAAAAAGAAAACTACCCGCTGAAAACATTATTAGAAAACTGCATGGTAATGTTCTCAGAACATTTTTAGAACAAAAAAATTCTAGCTGGGACGACAGAAGGCAGGGAGGGGATTTCCGTACCCTAATCTTCCATGTGCCTCATGTCTGTCTTTATGACTTCTGTAGAACAGCCCACCTGTAAAGAAGGACTCGTTATTAATGTCGTGGTAACGGGGATCAGCCAATCAGCGCCTTTGTTTTTGGAGTCACGGAGAGGACACCCGTTTTGCGCGAACTGATAGGTTTCGTTTTTGAGTTAACGGTGAGAGTGGCCGGGAAGCCCATCGTAGATATTTCTGAAGAGAATAGTTAATAAATCAGTCATCTGTGCTGTGATCCGTGCATGTGTGCGTTCAGAGACATGTGAGTACCCTGGTGAATGTTTTACATATGTGTTTTTGGTTGCTGTTGTTACTGAGAGAAGGCTGTTTAGTTTAATAATAAGCTAATGTGTGCTGGTATATTATTTTGTTTATTTGATTTAAATAGCTAAAGTTACCTGAAGGGAAGATTATACTAAATGACAAGTATTAGCTTTAATAATTGTATCCTGACAGCATTTTTTGTTACTTATATGCTGATATTGTTCTTTTCTTTATTGTTGTTGTAGAACCACACATACTGTACATTCTAAGAAGACAGACAATCATCTGTTGGCTGTCAATAAACCCCTTCAAGAGAGTCAGAGCATCCAGTTGCATTCTTACCGATGCACCACAGTGGTCACTTATCCCAACAAGCTATAATTACAGTCCTAGCTATCAAGGTCTTCGTTTCAAATTGGTCCTTCGAGCCGGAGATTGTGTGACTGCTGTGAAGGAGGATGTTTCCATATGGTAGAGGTGAGGCGACGCCACTTCCTAATACCCGTCCGAGACGTCAGACACGTCCGCCAACCTGGTTTGCTGATTATGAAGTCTCCCTGCCTGTTGTGGAGGGACCCCCCCAGGCTGCAGCACTCTCCTCACAGCCCTCCTATCAGATACAGGAGCCCCTTTTTCAGATGCAGGAGCCCTATTACAGTAGTGAGAGGATTGACCAGATGTCAAGCACTTCACAGCTACTTGATCAGTGGAACCGGACTGCTGCTCGCTCTAAGTATTCCAGAGAGTCAGTGTTCTCGGGACCCCATTATGAGAGCACCCCAGCTAGACCACTGTCTCACAGAGTAACCCCAAGGGCTTCACCTGAAATATTAGATGAGCTGCAAAGGATAAGAGAGGAGAACCAAAGGCTACAACTCATCGTAATGGAGATGCAAACACAGCTTAATCTAAGTAAAGGTCCAGATCCATCACAACACACTGCATTCTTCCCCCCGGAGTACAGCCCGCACGCTCAACCCTCAGTGCACACTGCCGCCACTAGCTCACTAAGACCCACACCACAGGTTACGGCCCATACTACATTAGCACCTGTGCAGGTATCCAGTAAAATAGAAGTGGACGATGAAGACTGGCCCCTTCCCCCCTCTCCAGTGGCAGATGATGAGGAGAAACCACAGCTATCCACTACCACACTGCCCACAGAGTTAGTGGTAGAGTGGATGACATGCCTTAAGAAGATGGGGATTACTCAGGAGCAGCTTCCTGAAATGTCAGCATCAGAGAACAGTAAGCTGGTTGCATCTGGTCGGATGGTGAGGTCACACCAGCCGACAGAGCCGCAAGACCGTCCACATATTTTACCTCATGTGATTCCTCCTGAGCCAGGCGCAGCTGATGGACAGAGACCTGAAGACTTTCACTCCCGCCAAGCAACAGAGTACATATATCGGGGCCCTCAACCCACCATCCCAGATTTTAGTAGAGGAGACCCACGTGAGTTTGCTAGGCTGAAGACCTCCCTGGAAAATCTCCTTCCCAAGGATGTTACGGAGAGGTTTAAATATCAGATTCTAGTTGACCATCTAAAATTTGAGGAAGCACTCCTCATTGCTGACTCATACACCAACTCTACCCAACCCTACACCGACACTATGGCCTCCTTAACAGAGCACTATGGGCAACCTCACCAGCTAGCATTAAGGCGGATTGCCGATCTGATGGAGGCGCCTAACATCCGTAGTCAGGACATTGCTGCCTTTAAAGGATTTGCCCTCAGAGTGAGAGCCCTGGTTGGCATGCTCGATCAGCTTGGAGAGAAAGGCCATATTGAGCTTCAGTGTGGGTCCCATGTCACTAGGCTTACGTCCAAGCTCCCGCAAGACATGCGGTCTGGATTTCTGAGACACCTACAACCCCTCGGCATCCGTGTCCCTACGCTGTTAGACTTCGCTAGCTGGCTGGAGTTTGAGCTGCAGATTCAGAAGTATGGATATGAATCCCGACCCAGAGAGAACCCGGAAGGTAAAAGGGAGAGACGGAAGGACTCAAAGTATGGCAGGCCAACCACAGTCCTCCATGGAGCGGAACAGTCTTCAAGTGGCCCGACTGTCCCAGTATTCCCATCCACCAGTGCCAATCCACAAGGCAAAGTCACTCTGCCCTGCCCATACTGTACCGATGCCCTGCATTACTTGAACCAGTGCAGTAAATTTAGCCAGCTAACAACTGAGCAGCGGAGAGATTGGATCAAGAGAAACAGGCGGTGCTGGCGTTGTGGTCGCTGTCATCAGGCCGCACAGTGCAAACTAAAGGCCAGGTGCAAGAATTGTAATGGCAGACATCTGGAAGCTCTCCATGACCTTAACATTAGGTCAGCCATAGTGACACCAGCCACAGAGAACACCTCCTGTTTAGTTAGTACCGCCAATGAAGTTCTCTACTTGGATAGGCAGTCTGGCTGTAGTCAGGTGCTCCTGAAGGTAACAAAGGTTGTGCTACATAATGGAGAGCAGGCCCTGGAGACCTACGCGATACTGGATGACGGGTCAGAGCGGACTATGTTACTTCCAGCCGCTGCTAAAGAGCTTAAACTTAAAGGGGAACCAGAGAGCCTCGCTTTAAGGACTGTGCGCCAGGATCTTAGAATTCTACAGGGTATGTCTGTCTCCTTCTCTATTTCTCCTGCCAGTCACCCTCAAAGATCCTACAAGATCCGGAGAGCCTTTACTGCCGATCAGCTGGGGCTGGCAGAGCACTCACAACCGGTGAAGACACTCCAGCGCAAATATAAACACCTGAAAGGACTCCCTTTGCAAACATTGGAATGTGTTCATCCCATGGTCCTTATTGGGTCAGACTACACGCACCTGATCACGCCAGTGGAACCGGTTCGTATGGGTCCGCCTGGAGGACCAGCCGCTGTAAAGACCAAGTTGGGCTGGACTATTCAGGGCCCAACCAAAATCCTCAGACAATATCTCCAGCCACAGCAGTGTCTGCATATCGCCACACAGTCACCCTCTGCAGAGCTCCTTCATCATGTTGAGAAGCTATGGCAAATGGACGTATTGCCTTATAGGAGTGAGAAGATGGTGATTCGCTCAAAGCTCGATCAAGAGGCAGTTCGCATGCTGGAAACCAGGACAGTGAGGGTGGAAGTCGACGGAGTCAATCGCTACGCCACCCCCTTGCTTCGTGTAAAGAACATGCCCTGTCTCCACACCTCCAAGGATGCTGTACTGGCGAGTCTGCGGAGCACCGAAAGACGTCTGATGAAAGACCCAATACGAGCATCAGCCTATGCAGCAGAGATCCTGAAGTTGGAACAGGCAGGGTATGTGAAGAAGGTAACAGAAGAAGAGCTGAGTTTGTCGACAGAGTCCTGGTTCATACCTCACCACATGGTGAGTCATAATGGAAAAAACAGACTCGTATTCAACTGCTCCTTTGCATACAAGGGCTATAACCTGAATGAGCTTCTGCTACCAGGCCCCACGTTGACCTCCAGCCTGTTAGGTGTCCTGCTAAGATTTTGGGAGCATTCTGTCGCTATAAGTAGTGACATAAAAGGCATGTTCCACCAAATCAGGCTGCTGCCAGAAGACAGATCCCTGCTTCGTTTTGTTTGGAGGGACCTGAACAAAGAGGCGCCACCCTGCACTTATGAGTGGCAGGTCCTCCCCTTCGGAACGACATGCAGCCCCTGCTGTGCAACGTTTGCACTCCAGAAACATGTGACCGACCATAGCCAGCCAGAGGAGGACGTCAGGGTGGCCGTTGAGCATTATTTTTATGTGGATAACCACTTACAGAGCCTCTCATCCCCTACAGCAGCAAGACAGCTGGTTGACAAATTGAAGACGTTATTAGCCTCAGGGGGTTTCGAGTTGCGTCAGTGGACTAGTAACGTCCCAGAAGTTATCAGTCACCTTCCAAAATGGGCGAGATCCGAAAGCAGTGAGTTATGGTTTACAGAATCAATGGAGGATCCACAGGAGCTCGCACTTGGACCCCGATGGCTTTGTGCCTCTGACACTCTGGCATACAAGTGCAGCCTCACTAACCGTCCCACACCTACTATGAGGAATATCTATAGTACACTGGCACGTCTTTTTGATCCACTTGGCTTTCTCGTTCCCTTCGCCATGCGGGCCAAAATCATTGTCCAGCAATTATGGAACAAAGAGAGAGAGTGGGATGACCCGTCACTGCCAGATGATGCCCTCAAGGCCTGGATAACCTGGGAGAATGAGCTGCAGCACCTTCCAGAGATTGTCTTGCCACGATGCTATTCAAGCCCCCCTCTGGATCACCCAAGTTCCGTCAGGAGCCTCCACATATTCTGTGACGCATCTGAGAAAGCTTACGGATCAGTTGCGTATCTTCGTACGGAGGGTTCAGGTGGTAAAGTGGAGGTGGCCTTTCTGACTGCACGTTCTAGAGTGGCCCCTAAACGCCAGCAGTCGATACCACGATTAGAGCTATGTGCGGCGGTGACTGGAGCTCAGTTGGCAAGGTTGTTGCAGCGTGAACTCACCCTGGTACTTCATGAAGTGGTACTCTGGACAGACTCCACCACAGTTCTTACATGGCTTCAGTCAGACTTATGCAGGTTTAAGGTGTTTGTGGGCACCAGGGTCTCCGAGATCCAGGAGCTGACTGAGGCCCAAGCATGGAGGTACGTGGATTCTGAAAATAATCCCGCGGATGACATTACGCGCGGGAAGACCCTAACGGAGCTGGGGGGGGAGAGCCGGTGGAAGCACGGCCCAGCATTTCTGCGCATGTCATCTGAGTATTGGCCTACTAAGCCAAAGGCTGAGCAGTTGGACGCCACAGAACTTCGCAAGGCCACATTCTGCGGCTCTATCACCACCACCCCTCTTCCGCCCTTACTTGATGCCAGCCAATTCAATGGTTTCAGGGACATGTTAGAGGAGGTTGTGAGGTCCCGCCATGGGGCGGCAGGTAGCCAGTCAACGCCAACTGCACAAGACTATCGGGATTCTGAGAGAGATTTACTGAGGCAAGTCCAGTTAGACTGCTTCGGGGAGGACTTTCAACACCTCTCAGAAGGAAAACCTGTCCCTTCCTCCAGCCGGTTGATTACATTAGCCCCTGAATATGATGATCGACTGCAGCTGATCCGGGTTGGAGGCAGATTGCGTCGCAGTGACTTGCTGGACACAGAAACCATTCATCCGATAGTTCTGGACCCAGCTCACCAGGTGACTAAACTCATCATACAAGATGCTGACCGTGATCTTCGTCATCCAGGCTCAGAGCGACTCTTTGCAGAGCTTCGCCGACGGTACTGGATCCTTCGGGGAAGAGAAGCTGTGAAGCGGCACCAGCACTCCTGCACTGATTGTCGGAGATGGAGAGCGAAGCCTGCAGTGCCACAAATGGCAGACTTACCTCTTGCCCGCCTGCGGTTAATGAAACCACCTTTCTTCTCTACAGGAACGGATTGTTTTGGGCCCTTCATGGTCAAAATCGGACGGCGTAATGAGAAGCGTTGGGGTATATTATTTAAGTGCCTTACTACCCGAGCTGTCTACATAGACGTCCTGACTAGTCTAGACCAGGATTACTTTCTGATGGCCCTCCGCAGATTCATCTCACACAGAGGAAAACCAGCGGAGCTTCTGTCGGACCAGGGCACAAATTTCAGAGGGGGAGAGTGGGGAATCCACAAGTCTTTCGAGGCACTGCACCCCACTTTACAAGCAGAACTGGCCAAACATCAGATTGAGTTCAGATTCAACCCTCCAAGTGCGCCTCACTTTGGTGGTGCATGGGAGAGGGAAATCAAATCTATCAAAGCTGCCCTGTATGCTACGATCCAGATGCAGACAGTGACAGAAGAAGTCCTGCGCACGGTTCTGATTGAGATAGAGGGCATCCTAAACTCTAAGCCCTTGGGGTATGTATCCAGTGACGTTGCAGACCCTGACCCAGTAACCCCCAATCTGCTTGTGATGGGGCGGCCCGACCCATCGTTGCCTCAAGTATTGTATCCAGAGTCCGAGCTGTTGAGCCGCCGCCGCTGGAGGCATACGCAGGTCCTCGCTGACCAATTCTGGAGGACATTTATTAGGCACTATCTTCCTGCCTTGCAGACGCGCACCAAGTGGCAGAAAGAGGTGGCCCCACTACAATCTGGGGCTGTTGCCATGATCGTTGACCCACAACTCCCGAGGGCACTTTGGCCTATTGGCCGCATCACTAAGGTTATCCCAGGTGCAGATGGGAGGATTAGGACAGCAGAGATCCAGGTGAACAACAGAACTTACACCCGGCCAGTTGCCCGTCTTGTTCCACTTCCTGCCATACCTGAGACAGCACCTGAGACCAATAGTCCTTCTCTAGGACAGCAAATTTAACTGTGCAAATTTGGGGGCGGCTGTAAAGAAGGACTCGTTATTAATGTCGTGGTAACGGGGATCAGCCAATCAGCGCCTTTGTTTTTGGAGTCACGGAGAGGACACCCGTTTTGCGCGAACTGATAGGTTTCGTTTTTGAGTTAACGGTGAGAGTGGCCGGGAAGCCCATCGTAGATATTTCTGAGGAGAATAGTTAATAAATCAGTCATCTGTGCTGTGATCCGTGCATGTGTGCGTTCAGAGACATGTGAGTACCCTGGTGAATGTTTTACATATGTGTTTTTGGTTGTTGTTGTTACTGAGAGAAGGCTGTTAATAATAAGCTAATGTGTGCTGGTATATTATTTTGTTTATTTGATTTAAATAGCTAAAGTTACCTGAAGGGAAGATTATACTAAATGACAAGTATTAGCTTTAATAATTGTATCCTGACAGCATTTTTTGTTACTTATATGCTGATATTGTTCTTTTCTTTATTGTTGTTGTAGAACCACACATACTGTACATTCTAAGAAGACAGACAATCATCTGTTGGCTGTCAATAAACCCCTTCAAGAGAGTCAGAGCATCCAGTTGCATTCTTACCGATGCACCACAGTGGTCACTTATCCCAACAAGCTATAATTACAGTCCTAGCTATCAAGGTCTTCGTTTCACCACCCATTTATAAACACTGCTTCAGGAATAGCGTCATGCGTCTCACTCACTCACACACACACACACACACAGACAGACGCCTAGCGCGGAGGCTGTCAAACGCAAAAGTCCGGTGAGAGAGAGTCACTTGTGGGATCTTTTCAACTTTAAATGATTCAACATCTTTGGGAACGGCTGAAAAAGTAAGATGATTTTATTTTTCACACCAAATCGGTCCTCAAGAGTACCAACTTTTTGATTTTAACTCACACTTTTATACAGGCTTTAACAGAATGTTCAGCATCAGTGAGAAGAGATTATTGCTGACAAAATTAATAAAGCTTATTAAACAAACATGTGCTGATTCCCGGTTCATTTGTGATACAAATCAAAGATTTGGAATAATTTAAACAGAAATTTGACAGAGAAAGAAAACGCAGGAATTCGCCACAGGGGACAAAACAGGAAGCCCATATGAAAAAAAACTGCATGGTTCATATACAGCAACCATATATCTTCCTTGCTTAAATTGGCCAGAATTACCTTACGTGTTTCATGTAAGACCAATACATGTCCTATAAAAAATCAGACCGATTATGGCCCCTTTCATACTAAATAGCACACATACAACTTATAGGGGATTTTTGCATCATATATGAATACTGTAAAAGTCTTATATGAGTTGTACATGACAAAAGTATGCAATTGTGTATGGTACTTGTAGAAAACACACAAATATTCAAATACAAATCATTTAAAGTTCTTATATTGAATTATATGAATTTTACATGACAAACATATGCAATGGTATATGGTTTTATTAGAAAATAACTTAGATTCATATACAAATCATTTAAAGTTCTTATATTGAATCATATGCTAGTCAAATTAAAGTCATATAGGATTTATACACATTTTGTGTCATTTTTTTATACTCGTTATAAAAAGTGTTATACAGATTTCATGTTTAGATGACCAACATCACTTATATGAAGTTTGCAAATTTGGAAATTGTACAGCGCATAATTCTGTTCATTGAAAGTAAAAAAAAGGCAAAATACAAACAGTGGTTTTAACAAACTATTTATTTTATTAACGAACAAGCCCCTTTACATCATAGGTTAACTTTTAAAATAAACAATGAATGCACAATATAGGCATTTCTGTCAAATGGTCCGTGATACTTCAAATCCTAAACAGTGAATGTAAGTCCAGTGTCAGTGAAGTTGATTCAGTACCTTCGACTCGAGTCAACAACATTCAGCAGATGAAGAACAGTTCAAGGGTACGAGTGGATCAGTCGCAGGGTATGAGTGGATCAGTTGTGTCCAGTTGCTAACAGTAGAGTTTCATAGAGCAGGAACGGCTGTGCAGATCCAACTTCCTCGAAAATCCTGGAGTGCTGGTTCTCTGGATAACACAAAACCAGATCGATTACAATTAATACAATTTGTGTTTTATAAATACAGCAAGTTTATGGTGGAAAAAGTTCATAGGCCATAAGGTGAAGACGTTTTACGTTTAATCCCGTTCCCATATAAGGGGCACTAAATTGTTTTAATTCTAATAAAATTATCTATTGTTTCTGGACGAGAAAATAAAAGTTCTCCAGGTGCAATCCTGCAGTTTATTTTTTATTACTGTTTAAAGTCGGCAATAGTTCTTTCCTTGCGCAATCATATTTTGAACATCAGTGATGAGGCTTCGCGGAAGAATCATCACGTGCTTCCCGCTAGACCAATGAGGTGGCTGCTTTTTTGGGATGACAGGTAAACATTAGTCTAATATGTCTGACTTTGAGTCACACAACTATTTTGGTTAGATTAAGACTAGAATTTACTGATTTTCAAGTAAATTAAAGACTTCATTCATCCAAAAATGTTAATTCTGTCATTATTCACCCACATGTTGTTCCAAACCAGAGTTTTGCTCATCTTCGGAACACTTAACGAAGTTATGTTTAATGAAATCTAAGACATTTCTGTCCCTCCATTGACAGCCTATTCAACTACCACTTCCAAAGCCACGGAAAGGAAATCAAGTCAAAACCACGTCCTTAGTGGTAAACTTGAGGAACGCCCATCAAAGTACAAATGTGGGGAGGCGTCGCGACAGTCGTGTCGCAAAAGTGGATCTCTACCGTCAGTCAATGCAAAGACGCGTTACGCGGATTAAAAAATCCTGTTGAAAAATTTAAACTTTGCCGTCAATTTGTGCAATGCTAAAAAAATGAGCCTGCCTGCGACGCACCAATGGATTCAAAGTGTTCAAGCGTATATTTGTGAACGCAGCATAATGATGTACCTTTATGCCAGTGATCTCAAACTCAATTCCTGGGGCCCGTTTCAATAAGGAGGTTCAACCAACTCTGAGTTGAAGCTTGAACTCTGAGTTGACTTACCCTGAGATGGGAATCTCTGAGTTTTCGGTTTCAGAACAGCTGAAATGAGTTAGTTCAATCAACTCTGAGTTGACTGACTCCGAGTTAAGCGCGTGCACCACAACTATAAAAAGCCATTATCAATAGAGCGCAGATATTATGAGTCACCATGGCAACAGTGCCAGACAAAAAGAGGTGTTTGGTGTGATTAATTACCAAGTAATCTAAGTATTGTAATTTAATTAAAGGGATTACTCTTAATTATTCTGTAATTTAAAATAAAATATAATGCAATTACATTAAATAGGCTAAGCATAAACTATAGACCAATTCAGTATAAAACAATGGTGGATTTAACATACATTTTAAAATGTATATTTTTTATGTAACCTTCTCCTTCTACACACTTTGATCAATTCAAGAATAATTCATGTAATTGTATATTGTTAATTTAAAAGAATTAAAAGTGCAGTTTCTTGTTTCACCTCCTTGTTTTGTTCAAGTGTTGAGGTTGATATAGGATTTAGCAATTAGTAATATAGACCAATACTTTCTAGTAGGGGTGCAACGGATCAAAAAAAACTCACGGATCGGATCGTTTCTCGGATCAGAGTCACGGATCGGATCATTTTTCGGATCAGCAAAAAAAAAAAAAAAAAAGTTTTGTCTTTTGTTTATTTTGTTTATTAACACTTTTATATTGTGAGCGGTGAGAGCTATGTGATGATAACGGTTATTGTCACATAGCTCGGCCGTTCCCCTAGAAGTCCACCTGTCTGTCGTGAACGCAACAGATGCTCGGGTCGGGATAGTTCATCCACAACAGTTCATGTCGTAGCCTAACGTGGCTCAAGCACCTTTAGCGTGTGTTTAAAGCAGTGTCACGATAACAAAATTATTGTTTCGATACCGATACCAAGTCAAGTATTGCGATTTCGCTACTTTTTCGCTACTTTTCCTGAAAAGGAAAATATTTCTTACAAGGCGTTTCACATCCCAGATAGCAAACTGACATTGAATCAACGCGGAAACAACGTCTCTCATGACATTGAAACAACGTTGATTTTGCTCGTTGAACGTTGAGCCAACGTCAGACGCGGCATTCTTCAAAGCTAAATGAAAATCGAAAATTGGTTTGCTTTCATAACGTTGAAACAACGCTTTGATTTCAAGTTGATTTTCCGTTAGTTTTGAAAGAATGACGCGTCTGACGTTGGTTCGATCAACGTTAATTCGATGAGCAAAACGTCAGATCAACATTGTTTCGATGTCATATTTCCACGTTGATTCAATGTCAGTTTGCTATCTGGGATGCACCTCCTTAGCATAGGTCTGTGCTCTTTAATGCTGCAATAACCTAATATAAATAAATCACTGACATGCACATACTCTGATTATAATGATAGATCATATATTATCATATAGATATAATTATAGCCGATAGATCATTTTGCTGATGTTTTGTATCCTTTATTTTAGCAGCTTGCAAATTATTTATGCTAGGCCTATCTATTAAAGTTGGGGGGAAAGTTACACCTAATACAAAAATAAATGAAACATCTCCAGTTAACTAGCAGATAATTCATTTAGTTTGCTATTAAATAAGAGATCTGGCGCTAAAAATCTGTTGTTGTTTTTTTAAATCAAGCAGAGCGCTCTTTTTTGCTGCTATCAGTTGCATGGATACAGTAGGTGTTTCTCAATGTCAAGGATACTTCCTTGGCAGGACGGGTCCTTCCTTCCAAGTCATTTCCTTCAGAGGCTAGGCAAGGGTCCTCTTTAGCATTCGGAGAACACGTAAATAGAAAAAGGCTAGCAAGTGCACGTCATTGCGTCATTACATCAGTGAAAGGTCCGATTCGGCGCTGCAAAAATCTGTTTGTTGACAGTCCTTATTTTGTCTTGTCAGTCCTCATAGAAATAAATAAATAAATAAATAAATAAAGTATAAGGGATAATGTATAACCAGGCGGTTGTTATAGTGAATTACAACCCCGCAAACTCTAAAGCAGAGGGGTCTTGATTGAATCAGCCTGAAGGGGTTGTACCAAACGGCTACCTACCAAATAAATCAATAATTTGACACAAAATTTTTATTTAAAAAGAAGTTTATTCATTCAAAAACGATTATATTACCGGAGTGAACAGAACTAGCACTACGTCCATAGCAACATCTAGCTGTTAAAACACATGCAATGATAAAATATGTGACCAACAAAAAAGGCTATAACGTTATATGAAGTAAAAATTAAAATTTAATCACCAGTAAAAGGGAACAGCTTTAAATCCCCTCAGCAAATTTGAGCCGATATGTTAAATAGTTTAACAAACATTAAATAAATGGCTATAACTGAAATTATACTTGCTTACATTTGAAAGCATATTGCCGTTATCACTCCGACTCCGCTAACGGTCGACATTTTTTTTATTTTTTGAACAAGATAGCAAAGCTGCGCATAGGATTGTGGGTGATTTAAGAGCGCGAAGGCTACACATATGCATCCTTTCCTGTGTATGGGATATTTTCCGAACGAAGGACTCAGTCCTTGGTTGAAATTCTGAGGATCCTCGACATTGGAACAGTCCTTCGACGGACGTCGATGACGTAGCATCCTCGAAATTCCGGCTTCCGAGGATCCTTCCTTGACATTGAGAAACGCCTAGTGTATTTTGCGGCTCGCGCAGTCGCGCACCGTCTTCACACGGACGCGCGCTTCAAACTATCGCTGTTGCAGAGACTATTGTGTACAGGCCGCTGGATTGTGTTGCTAATAACTTGCAATGTATAACTATCAGACAGGCCCTCGCGGCCTCTAAGCACTA